GTGGGTGCTGAATTGAACCTTGATCCTCTGGAAGAACAGCAGTGCTCTTAACCACTGAGCTACCTTTTCAGCCCCTCATTGGCACTTTTCATAATCCTGCTGCCACTACCTTCAACTCATCCATATTCAGTTGAATAAGAAAGAATAGAAGGATCTTCTTTCTCAGTACAATATGCAGAATTGGGATATGTATATTATATATTATATACTATATATTATATATTTATTATATATTATATATTTATCTATATGATATATAATATTAGTATTTCTATTTTTCTATTGCTGTGAAGAGACACCATGACCACAGCAACTCTTATAAGGAAAACATTTCATTAGGGCTAGCTTACTGTCCATTACTGTGATCTCGAGAAACATGGCAACACACAGGCAGACATGGTGCTGAAAAAGTAGCTGAGCGGTCTACATCCAGATTGTCAGCCAATAGGAAGAGAGTGAGACTCTGGGCCTGGCTTAAGCATCTGAGACCTCAAAGCCCACCCCCAGTGACACACTTCCTCTAACAAAGCCATACCTACTACAAGACTACACCTCTGAAGAGTGCCACTTCCTGTGGGTATATGGGGACCATTTTTATTCAAACCACCATACCCAAAATGTTTTAGAAGAAAATGTTATTCTCATACAGACCAAGCTAGCTAGTGAGACTAGCCATAGAGAGCAAGCCTTGGGCTTGACTGAGACCATGTCTCACTGAACAAGGTGGAAGAGTGATGGATCATTTCCAACATCAACTTGGGCCTTTTTATACTGGCACATCCACAAATGTCTTATTTACATTTCAATTCTGTGAAGAGACACCATGACCAAGGAAACTTATTTTTAAAAAGCATTTAATTGGGGACTTGCTTACAGTTTCAAAAGGTAAGTTGATGCCCATTGTGGCAGGAAAGCAGGTAGGTATGGCACTGAGCTGGAGCTGAGAGTGAAACTGGGTCTGGCTTGGCCTGCTGTGGATAGCCCTGGTTTTGTTTGTATTTTGATGTTAATTCTGCTCTCCTGGGAGGGGCTGTGGATGAAGAGTGAGTTACCTACTCTGGTGACTTTTTGTGAAACATCCCCTAAAGAATAAAGGAGCCAATCACTGCGAAAGTAGGAGGGAATTCTGGGTTGGATAGGGGAAGAGAGGAAGCGGGAGAGAGTTAGAGACCTTTTGAACTAGGATAGCGACAGGACAAGATGTAGCCACTAGTGTCTTTGACTTCTGGATTGGATGGTGAATCCTATTGGATTCACCACAAAAGGATTTAGATTTAATATGGCTTACAAGATTAGCATTCTAGTTGATGCGCCCAGAGATTGAGTTACCATTGATTCTGAACTAAGTTTGTGTGGTGTTTTCCTTTATGAAGCAGCTTGACTGGGTTCCAGAGAGAAAGGTATGGCGGCAAAGTGTGGGTTTGCTGGAAGTGCACCACAAAAGGCCATGGGAGTTTTGAAGCATGGGACTGGTGTGGTAGTGACCCATCAGAGGGAACTTACCAAGCTGGGTGGAGAGATTTTGGAGTTCTGAGTCAGAGAATTTCCACAAGATGAGAACAGGCCTGCCATTGCCCACCAGTGCCTGGCTGGCTAGCCCTCCAGCACCAGACAGGCAATAGTGTGGTTCTTTTTTTAATATTTCCCGCAACATTGGGCTTTTGAAACCTCAAAGCCCACCACCACAACACAACTTCCCCCAACAAAGCCGCATCTCCTAATCCTTCTTAAAATAGTTCTATACACTAGGGACCAAGCATTCAAAGTCTATGGAGGTCACTCTTATTCAAACCACTACAATGTGCATGCACACCACCATGTGTGTCTATTCGCCCACCTACTGACACATGAAAAAATATACATGTAATATATACATACTTATATATATACATATTGTAGGAGCCAGGCTTTGTGGTACATATTTGTAATCATAGTCACTTGGTATGCTTAGATAGAAGGATGTGAAGTTTAAAGCTAGCTTGGGAAACAAAAACAGTACTTCTTAAGGAAGGAAAAGCCAAGCTTGATGGTTCATGTCTGTAATCCTAGCTCACAGGAAACTGAAGCCAGAGCAGTATCAAAAGTCCAAGGCCAACCTGGCCTACAGTACAAGCCTGTCTAACAAGACAAAGCAAGCAAAGGGAAGTGCAGCTCAGTTGGGGGAGACCTTGCCTGGCACACACTGCAGCAATAGATTCACAAATAATAAAAGAGGATCCAAAGTTCAACATCATCATTGGCTAGAGAATTGGGGCTGGGGGAGAAAAAGTAAAAAAGAAAGGAGAAAAGAAGAAGAATGGGGAAGAAAAACAAAAGGTTTAAAAAAATGGGAGTTGGAGTTACAGCTCAGTGCTAGCATTTTCCATGCAAGAAGACTTAGGTTCGATCAGTAGCGCTGAAAGTTATTCTAAGGCTGAGGCCATAGCAGCGTGGTAAAGAATTTGCTTTGCAAAGAAAGGCCTTGAGTTAGCCAGTCGGTGGTGGCGCATGCCTTTAATCCCAGCACTTGGGAGGCAGAGGCAGGTGGATTTCTGAGTTCGAGGCCAGCCTGGTCTACAGAATGAGTTCCAGGACAGCCAGGGCTATACAGAGAAACCCTGTCTCGAAAAACAAAAAAAAAAAAAAAAAAAAAAAAGGCCTTGAGTTGGAGCCCCAGCACAAAAAAAATAAGCAATTGTGAACTCTTAATCTTTCAAGTGAACCTCTACCCCATTTCCACAGAGATGGGTGATCTAGTATGTGGATCTGAGGATAATCCTGAGGTGTCAGTGAGCAGGACAATTTACAGAACAAACCTGCACCAGTGTCCTGTGTATCCTGATACCAACTGAAGACCACAGGAGTCCAGCCCCACTCAGCCTGGGCCTGGAGATCCTCAAAGAGTTCCAGACTCTTGTCCAGCGAACTCCTGGGTCATCTAGAGCATTGTGAGGCAAGACAGAACCAGAACAGACTCAGAGAAGGAGGCTGCCACAGTCCTGCCCACTCACAATGTGTTTATCTCTGAAGACACAAGCCTAATCAGGAAAGATGGGTCTGCCTCTCCCAAGGTAGTATTAGGGGTTAGTTGCAAGTGCTGATTTGGGATGGCGGCACATCATTTCAATCTGGAAAACAAATCAAATCTTCTTGTAGGCAGAACTGCAGATGGGCCAACACAGTTTCCTGGAGGTATGAGGCCTGAAGCTGAAGGGACCAGCAGGTAACTGGGCACCACAGCCTGAGGCCAGTCAGCCTCAAGCAAGAGCATCCTGCTTCCTCCAAGGGTTTCTTTGCCTGAGGAAAGTGGAAGCTGGCACTCACATTCCTTCAGGATCTTCAGAAAATGGAGGCAAGGGTGATCCCGAAGCCCTCCCCCCTTTGTTTGGTCATCAGTGCCAGTCCACACTGCACATGCCAAAAATGACCACTCTCTTTTTTGTGGTTCAAGATTTCACTCCTTAATGGAGATCCAGCCTGGGCTCTAAGAGAAAGGCAGGCAATGACATGAATTATAGCTTTGGGTCTATTTCGTGAAGCACAAGGACAGTGTGACTTTGACAGCAAATTTTGGGGACCTAAAAAGGGTGACATTTTATGGAAAGAAAGTGGCTTATTAGACTTGTTTGAGCATACCTTTAACCCAGCACTGGAGAGGCAGAGGTAGGTGGAGCTCTATAACTTTTGAAGCCAGACTGATTTATATAACATGGTGAGTTCCAGACCAGCCAAGACTATACACTGAAACCCTGTCTCAAAAAAAAAAAGGGGGGGGGGAAGAGAATGACTTGAGGTTTAGACAGGAGTCAAAATGGATAGGGAACTGAAATGTAAAGGAGAAGTGGAGAATGGAATCTGGGGACTCCCTAAGTGTAGGGAGACCTGTGCCACAGATATGTGAGGCAGCCTCCATTAGCTCCAGTAAAGTACTTTGATGTGGGAAAGTCTGGCCATAATGCTGCCTTCCTGCCCTGATCCATCTTGAAGGAGTGTGAAGTGGGTTCTCTGCCTCCCTTACAGTGTCTAATTTTTCATGCACAGCGATAGTTTGTGAGAAAGCTGGGGGAAAGTGCTAAATGGGAGGCAACTAGTTGCAGGAGTAAAACATGTTTTCTGAGGTATAAGGGTCAGAACCTGGGCCCTAGCAGCCTTAACTCATTCTCAACGGGCCAGCTAAAAAGACAAAGTGTAAGGGAAAACTTTTTTTTTTCTTTTTTTGGTTTTTGGTTTTTTGAGACAGTGTTTCTCTGTGTAGTCCTGGCTGGCCTGGAACTCACTCTGTGGACCAGGCTGGCCTCGAACTCAGAAATCCGCCTGTCTCTGCCTCCCAAATGCTGGGATTAAAGCATGCGCCACCACTGCCCGGCTGTAGGGAAAACTTTTAAGAAGGGAGATTTAACATGGTCATATTGGAAAGAGCAAAGACGTCTAGCGACATTTTCTTATCCAAGTCCATCTTCAGGGCTGACATGTGGTTTAGTTTAGGCTTAAAGGCAACAGCTATGCATAACTAAGCAGTCTTTGTCAAGGTGTGGTCGCCTCCATCCTCGGGTCATCCAGTTTCTCTGGGAAGGTAGTCTGACAAGTTTTCCGAACTGTGAAATATCTTTCCTGGAGTCAAGTTCCTCTGTTGGCTAACATCTGTACCCTCGTCTTTTCCTTCTCCAGCATGAGGCTCTCAGGAAAACTTTAATTTCGTAAAGTCCAGTCTTTTAATAATCGGATTGCGATCGGGGCAATTAGGGTGTCTAGAATATCTTTAATCCTACCATGATGGTTACAGGTTCAAGATTGGTTCCGCAGCGAGGCAGATCATGCTTACTTCCGCATGCCAGAGGATGAGCTGGCTAAGGTCGGAAATGCCCCGCCAGAAGGCTGGATTCCTTTGGCCACAGCTTGGCCACAGCAAAACCGCCATTGGCAAGAAGCAAGCGGAAGTTCTCCGAGGACATCAATTCTCCTTGCTGCCCTTAAGTCCCGCCCCTCTGGTCTAGGCGGTGTCTCCGTGGCGACGTGCTGCGATGTGCGGCTGCGCAGTAGTGACTGGGCGCGGGCGAGTGGGAGGGGGTGTTTTGGTTCTCGCCGCTCGCCGTCCTTTCCAGACCTGGCGGTAGGAAACCTGCTTGTTCCTGCTTTTCCTTTCCCTTCCCTTCCCTTCCCCTTCCCCTTTCCCAACCCAGATTTTCCCTCCTTCCATTTACGCGCCTCATTTTGATCGGCTGCTGCCCGGGATCCGGGCCATTTTCCGGGCCGGGCGCACGAAAGCGCGCGGCCCCAGGGCCCGGTACATGACCCGCCGTCCTGCCGCCCCTCGCCTCCTCCGCCCCATGTGGCTGCGGGGCCACGGCGGCGCTGCCCACTATGGCCCGGAAAGCAGTTAGCAGGAAGCGGAAAGCGCCTGCCTCGCCAGGAGCCGGGAGCGACGCTCAGGGCCTGCAGGTGAGGGCTTACAGGCCTGGGTCATCACCCAGCAGGGGCTTAGGGCGTTCCAGCTGGGGCCAGGAACCAGGGCCAGGGCGGGACAAGGACCGGAGCCGGGAGTGTAGAGCAGTGGCCGGTCCTTCTGCAGTGTACTGGCGTGCAGGCGGGCCGGAAGGGTGAGGAGCCAAAAGGAAACTCCAAAATGACGCCTTCCGCTGGAAGTCTGCAGCTAGGGAGAGCTTCAGGACCTCCTCGTTCCTGGAGGAAGGAGAAAATGAAGACAAGAGGAATCGGAAGACCGACCGACCTTCCGAAGTTACTGGGAAGGAGACCGAAGTCGACCTTCCCGTGGTACTAGGAATATGAACCCGTGGTCTCTTATCAAGGAAACCGTCTCCTAACCTGGGTGCTGGTCCCTTTGGCTCTTTAGACACCTAGAAGAAACACCAGGTGTCATCTCTATACTGCCCCCTTTGGAGAGGAAGGCCTCTCGGACTTGGGATTCCGACGCAGGTTACCCCGTTGGTATTTGATTTTTCGAATTCTAAAACTGCCCGCAGCGCAAGTCGCGCGGAGTTCTGATCAGCGGCCATTGACTGTACATCTCTGGAAGATCCGAGACCCCAGTCTGGCTCTTTGAGCTATACCCTTTATGCTCTACGGGGTGCACAGGCGGAGAGGGAGAAGGGGGCTGGGTAGAAATGCAGCTCAGGTGGGTTCGGTAATATGGACATCGTTTCCTAACTATCAAAGACACCTGGGTGTATATTCTGAGCCCTCCACTTTCCTCAAAGGTTTAGTCCTTTTGTCCTGTTTATCCATTTTCTAAGTAGACTTTATTATGAGAACCTTATTTCAGTGAAAGACGGTCAGACTTCTTAAGGAAAAGTGGCCAAACCTCTGATTTCTAATGTTGACTTTCACAGTTTGGCTGGGATCATTCGCTGCACAAAAGGAAAAGACTCCCCCCAGTGAAGAGATCCCTAGTGTACTACCTGAAGAACCGTGAAGTCAGGCTACAGAATGAAACCAACTACTCTCGGGTGTTACATGGTTATGCAGCACAACAACTTCCCAGTCTCCTAAAGGAGAGAGAATTTCACCTCGGGACCCTTAATAAAGTGTTTGCGTCTCAGTGGTTGAATCATAGGCAAGTGGTGTGTGGCACGAAATGCAACACGGTAAGTAAGTATCGGGAGGGCTCTTGGTCTGCTGTTGCTGTTTGCTGTGCTTTGTTTTGTTTGTTTCGAGACAGGGTTTCTCTGTGTAGCCCTCCCTGGCTGTCCTGGAACTCACTCTGTAGATCAGGCTCGCATCAAACTCAGAGATCTGCCTGCCTCTACCTCCCCAGAGCTAGGATCAAAGGTGTGTACCACTATGCTTCCTTTTTCTTAGGTCTGAGATGTATGACTTTACTCACCTTTCACTGTTTGTCTTCTCCCTTTGTTTACTTTTTTTTTTTTTCTGTAAGCAGAGTTGGAATTGAGAGATGTTTAATTAGAAGTGTTAGGACAAAGAGGCACTCAAGGAAAGAATAAGCTCTGATGTGGGTCTTGGGCTCTTTAGGGGAAGATGTTCCTGTTGGCTTCTTTCTGTTCTTTTTTATTAACAACCTTGTCCTCCTTTTCTGCTCCTTTTCTGACTTCTGAGTCTCCCGATCCCTTCAAATGGACATGTGTTTTAGGCCCCCTGTCTCTGTGTGCTGCTGCTTCTAGTGTTTTAGAGAAGAGGCTTCAAAGAAAGGACAGGAATTGATGTCAGAGCATCATTTAGGGTACATGATGGTGACAGCTTAACTGCTGTGTACCAGCCTTTGACTTAGTTAGAAGTATTTAGCACCTGGCTGAAGGTAGAAAAGAGACAAATACTTTTTCATATATTAGAATCCAGATGGGGGGCTGGAGAGATGTCTCAGCAGTTAAGAGCACTAACTGCTCTTCCAGAGGTCCTGAGTTCAATTCCTAACAAGCACATGGTGGCTCACAGCCATCTGTAATGGGATCTGATGTCCTCTTCTGGTGTGTCTGAAGAGAGCAATGGTAGTGTGCTCATACACATAAAATAAATAAAATAATCTTAAAAAAAATCCAAATGTAGCATTTTGGAGTCGAGGCAATAGAATTGCTAAAGTTCCAAGTTGAGACCCCGTCTCAGAACAAACAAAATGCAAAGATGTCATAAGTTTCTATAACAAAGACAAGAAATGTATGCCTGGTGGTATATTTTAGGGTATGAGCATTTGCAAAGAAGAGAGGAAAATTATGACATGAGAGTAGGGGAGCGGTTTTAAAGAGAGTAAGGGTTATAAGTAATTGGAGGGGAAATCTTATCAGGAAACTATGTGACTAGTATGGTTACAAGCAAGAAGACAGTCAAAAGAGTGGGTGTGGTATTTGCTTTAGCACTGTATACATATTTAAATTGGGACACTACAGAGGTTAGCATGGCTCCTCCACAAGGATGACACACAAGTCTGTGAAGTGTTTTATGTTTTTAAAAGAGGTGGATATGATTGGAATAGAAGGGTACAAATGGGAAGACATTAGAATTGGGTAAATTACTCTGTCTAACCCTCCCTCTGTTTTCAACTCACCTAGTGTGAATAGACAGGTAATGTTAGAATGGTGAGTAAATTGACCCTGGACTAAAACATATGTGGGATTATCTAAAAGAGAGGTTACTCTACATTAAGAACCATGAGCCTGCCGGGCGGTGGTGGTGCACGCCTTTAATCCCAGCACTTGGGAGGCAGAGGCAGGCGGATTTCTGAGTTTGAGGCCAGCCTGGTCTACAGAGTAAGTTCCAGGACAGCCCAGGCTACACAGAGAAACCCTGTCTCGAAAAAAAAAAAAAAAAAAGAACCATGAGCCTGTGAGATTGTTCAATGGAAAGATGCTAGCTGCCCAAGCCTGATCCACAGCACCCACAAAAAGGTGGAAGAAGAACACTGACATCATAAAGTTGATTTCTCTGACCTCCACATGTCTGCCATGGCACACTCCCTGAAACATACACCACACTTACAACACACACTAATAATAATAATGATACATTTAAAAAAGAAAAAACTCTTGGGTGCTCAGTGGGTAAAACTTGCCAAGCCTGCCAACCTGACTTTGACCCTCAAAATCCATGTGCTGGAGAGAACAGACTGCCTCAAGCTGGGCTATGCACCCACTGCCAAGTATAAATAAAAGCATTAAAAATAAAAACGGTAAAAACTACCAGATACCATAAGTACTAGTAGTGTCTTTATAAAGGTCATAGGCAAAATTTTAATGAGTTTTGAGGAAGGAAGTAATACTATGGTGCCTGGGGGCAAATTTCACTTCTGTTAAACGTTGTCTTACACAAAACATTTTCAAAACTAGGTGCTACGAGCAAGCCTGCACAAGACTTCCTTTTTCTGGTTTCAGTCTTGCCCTGTGGTTTAGGAAACTGTCATTGTTGATGCTTGGAGTAGAAAAAAATCTCTCCTGTTTGTTTTAATAATCTATTGACAGTATTTTGAAGATGAGCATATTACTAATCATTGAATGTACTCTTAAAAAATGTGTTTTTAGCTTGGCACTGGAGAGATGGCTCAGCAATAATGAGCAGCATTCACTGCTTTTTGAGAGGATCTGGGTTTGATTCCCAGACCTACATGGTGGCTCACAACCACTCGTAGTCCAGTCCCAGGAGAGCTGTCTCTTGGCCTCTGAGGGCCACAGGCACATGCAGACAAAACACGCATACACAGAACATAAGTAAAAATTTTGAAAAATTTACTATTGATACCTACTTCTCTCTTCTTAAGTTAAAAATCTATTTTAATTATTTTTTAAATTTCACGTGTGTTAGTGGGTGCTATATTTGCCACAGGGAACATGTGGAGGTCGGGACAGGAGTTGGCCCTCTCCTTCCACCATGTGGGCTCTAGGGATAGAACTCATGCCCTTAACCGTAGTGGCAAGCTAAGTGCCCTCATCCTTCACTTGCCCTTGTCCCTTTCTGTTTGCCTTGGCTGTCCTGGAGCTCCCTGTGTAGACCAAGCTGGCCTTGAATTCGCAGAGATCTGCCTGATTTACCTCCCCAACCCTGGGATTAAAGTTGTATGCAAATGTTCCTGTTCCCCTAATCTATACTTGATACCTATTTCTGTCCTGTCCTCCTGTGTCTTTATAACTTAAAATACTTGGAAATAGTAGAAGTTGTCTTCTTTTGAGGCAGGGTCTTATTATGTAGTTCAGGTTGGCCTTACTGTATACCCAGGCAACCTTGAAAATCTTGATCCTCTACTCCTGTCTCACAATTGCTGAGATTATAGACAGGTATTACCACACTTGGCTGTTTGCTTTTTTTTCTTTTTATATCTACGGGTATTTGTGTGTGTATGTATGTACACCACATGTGCAGAGTGTCTCAGAAGGTCAGAAGTGGGATTGGATCTCTTAGAACTGTAGTCACAGGCAGTTAGTTGTTAGACATCACGTGGGTACCGGGAATCAAACCTAGGTCTGATGGGAGAGCAGCCAATGCTCCAGCATTACATCCCAACCTGTTTCCTCTCCCTTCACTCCTCCCAGATCCGCGCCCTTCCCCCCACCACACACACACACACACACACACACACACATCCCCTCTCTCCCAAATTCACTGCTTTTTCATTGAGCAGGCCTCCCAGGGATATCACTGGAACAAGACATAACAAGTTACAGACCAGGCACAATCCCTCAAGTCAGTAGTAGGAAAGGGGTCCCAAGAATGGGCAAGAGAGTCAGAGACACATCCACATAACCAAGCTGGGTTTTGTTATTTTTGTTTGTTTGTTTTTACTGAGACAGGGTCTTTCAGTGAAGCACTCAGTGTTCTGGAACTTGTTCTGTAGACCAGGCAGGCCTCAAACTCAGAGATCTGCCTGCCTTTGCCTCCCAAGTGCTGGGATTCAAGGTGTGTGCCACTACTGCCCAGCCAAGACTTCTTAAAGTTCTAAGATAATAATACTGTGAGCCAGGCAGTGGTTGAGCACTGTTTTATAATTACATATTCTATGAATGATTATTTGAGCTGAGTAGTGGTGGTACGTGTACTCTAGAGGCAGAGGCAGGCAGATCTCCGTGACTTTGAGGCCAGCCTGGTCTATATACAGCAAGTTCCAGAACAGCCAGAACTGCACAGTGAAACCTTGTCTTGAAAAACAAAACAAAAAATGTATTACCATTGTATTGATACAAAAATACCTTGTTTCTGGGAAACAGAAAAGTACTTGAGGCTCAGGGTTCAGTCCTCACACCAAAATACTCTGTTGGGGTGTGAAAGTCTTCTATCATCTACTGATTAAATGACTGTTCCCAGAAGATGAGGCATTGGTTCCTTGTAGAAATCAAAGCACCAAATACATATGTATGCCACCGTGCACAACTTTTGATTATATATCTATATTAAAAATATGGATGCAGCATAAATTTTGAAGAATAAGGAATGTATTCATTAAATGCTAGTTGTGTCTCTATGATAAAGTACTCTGTGGCCATGGAGAACTGAAGAAAGCTGGGCACAGTGGCATGCATCTATATTTCTAGCACTTGGGGAAGTAGGATCAGGAGTTCAAGGTTATCTGCTCTGAGGCCGAGGTTATATGAGACTTTGTTTCAACAAAGAGACAAAAGTAATGCACCTGGGCACTAAGAGACAGGCAGATCTCTGAGTTCAAAGCCAACCTAATCTACATACTGATTTCCAGTTCAGCCAGTCACGGCTACATAGCGAGACTGTCTTTAAAACAAAATCAAAACTAGCCTGGGACAAAGTAAGATACACAAATGTGCACACAAATAAGTATGCAATCTATGACCAGGAGGTTAGTTAATCTATGGGAGGTTAGTTAAGGTAGAAAGGCCTACTCTAATTGTGAGCTAACGGACAGAATAAAAAGAAGCTAGCATTCATCTCTGCTTCCTGACCATGGCTGCCTCAAGCTCTTGCTGCCATGGTCTTCTTCCTTGATAAGACAGTACTTGGGCTCCAAAGTGTTGAGTTCAGTTCAGGGCAGCTTCCCTGTTCTGTTAATTAAACTTTGGGACATTGAAATTGGCTGAGGGAAATTACTGAATAGAGAGTATTACTCTATTCATCTACTTCTAGCCTACACAAACAAATAAATTTTAAAAAGTTAAAAAAAAAATAGCCAGGCAGTGGTGGCACACTTTAATCCCAGCACTTGGGAGGCAGAGGCAGGTGAATTTCTGAGTTCAAGGCCAGCCTGGTCTACAGAGTAAGTTCCAGGACAGCCAGGACTACACAGAGAAACCCTGTCTCGAAAAACCAAAAAAATAAAATAAATAATAAAAATAAATAAAAAAGACAGTACCTGGGAATGGTGAGCCAAAATAACCCTGTAAGCTGCTTCTTGGGCTCATTGCTTACAGCAGTGAGATGGATGACTAACACAGCCTGTTTTCCTTCTTGGAACATCGCAGGACTGTTTCTTAGTCCTGGCTCTTTCCATTACTCCCTAGTGTCTTTAGTTTGGCTTCTTCTGTCTATCTGACACTTGTATTTCTGTGTAGCCTTTATTGTCCTGGAACTCACTCTGTAGAGCCAGGCTGGCCTCTAACTCAGATCTGCATGCCTCTGCCTTCCAAGTGCTGGGACTAAGGGCTCGTACCACTTCCGCCCACCTTTTTTAATGTCAGTGTCAAGATCTCAGTCAACATTGTGTGGATGTGGAGATCGAGAAAAATACTTGAGGGAATTGATTCTGTCCTTCCACCATGTGGTTCTTGGGGATCTTGACAGGATATGGTTTACCTACTGAGCCATCTTGCTGGCCCAGAGTTGTTTATCTTCTTGTCTTGTTGTTGCTCTTCTTTCTGTAGTAGATTCCATTTTAGAATATTGCGGTTTTAGTAACTTTGTAAGGTTCTCTTTCCTTTTGAAAACCTTTGTCCTGTGGGTGCATTTATATGTCTTCACACTCCCGTCTACATACATTGCTTATAATCTTATATTTTCCTCAGCAACAGCCTTTGCGTGTTCTTCCTCCTGTCCTCGAAGGGAAGATTCAGGGAGCCAGAGCCTGAGGCTTCCCTTGCTGTGCTGCCAGTTTCTGGCTCGGATCCCAGTAGGTTAGTGTGTAGCAGGGATCTGCGTCAGGGCCGCGTCCCTGTGCTTCCTGTGAAGAGGCAGTGTGTGCTGCCCTACATGAGGCACTCAGACGCTCGGCAAGGACGAAGGAGAAGATGTGGGTATGATTGTGATTGCCTGAGCACTCTGCATTTCAAATCACATCAGTTTTTAAATACCTTGCAGAACTAATCAATAAAGTAACCGTATACTACTATTTTAAGGTTTCTTTTACTTAATCAAGTGTATGGGTATAACTGTATGTTAATGAAGATGGCATGTAGGCCAGAGGAGATCCCCTAGAGCTATAGTTACAGATACTTCTGAGCCACCTTACATGGGTGCTTAGACTCAAGCAAGGTCTTGCAGTACATGTTCTTAACCACTGGGCCCTCTCTAGGTGTATGCCACTACATTTTGTGCCAGATCTTTGTAGTACTGATAAGTATGAAGAGACCAGCAAAGCAGCCAAGTAGGCAAAGGCGTTTGCTCTAAGTCTGAAGACATGTTCAGTCCTTGGAACCCACAGTGGAAGGAAAGGACTAACCCCATGTTAAGCCTGGGCAAAGTTTAGTACTGTCTTTTAAGTATTCCCAGGTGGTCTCTCATCCAAGTACTAACCAGGCCCAACTCTGCTTAGTTTATGAGATCAGGTGAGATTTGGCACATTGAAGGTGATATAACACCCTCATTGAAAGCATTTAATACTTTCTAATCTGTTAACATAGAATATTAAACTTAACTCATTTTCATATTTCATAGGACTAGTGGCCTTAGCCATGCCATTAATAGTTGAGATTACTGCTGGGTTTGGAAGCACATGCCCTTAATCTCAGCAGAGGCAGGTGGACCTGAACCTCAAGGCCAGATTGGTCTACATATGCACTTGGGAGGCAGAGGAGAGTGGATCTCTGTTAGTTGGAGGCCAGCTGTTTTACATAGTGAGTTCCTGGCTTGCTAAGGCTACACAGTGAGACCTTGTTTCAAAACAGAAAACAATGAAAGTTCCCAGGGTCTGCTATAATAGACTCTAATCAAACTCTCCAAGGATAATTTAACAGTGTTGACTAAATTAAATAGATACTATTGTTTTATGTGCCCCTTCTCTCTTGCAGCTCTTTGTTGTGGATGTCCAGACAGGCCAGATCACCAAGATTCCCATTCTGAAAGACCGGGAACCTGGAGGTGTGACTCAGCAGGGCTGTGGTATCCATGCAATTGAACTGAATCCTTCTAGAACACTCCTAGCCACTGGAGGAGACAACCCAAACAGTCTTGCCATCTACCGCCTGCCTACGTTAGATCCTGTGTGTGTGGGTGATGTAAGTTTCTCCATTGGTTGTAGTTAGAAGTAACCTTGTTTTAAAACATAGATCCTCTCCTTACCTAGAAAAGGGTGGCTTTCAGGTTACTCCTGAAATGGGGGTGACGGGTGGAAGAGAGCAGAGTGGGTGGAGATTGGGATCCCATAAATAAGAACCAGCACATACATTTAATAAAAGGGACAAAATAGCTGATCCCTGTGGCCAATAGCAGTGTGTTTTTCAGTTCAGAGGGTCCACATCTCTCTCATTGCCATGTCAGAAAATAAACTTACCGACTGATTTATAGTCGGGTTTCATTTGGCTCCAGAAGTATAGCATAGATGAAATTAATAAAGCCCTTGCCTTCAGTATAGTGTTGAGTGGTGTGTTGTAAATCAGTATGTGAATCATACAAGTCAGTCTCCGTGACATGCCAGTGCAACATGCCGTAGAGGAGGAGTACCAGTAGCTCAAGGGATGGAAACTAAGCTGCAGGGGGATGCTGTTTCAGAGAGCAGTCAAAGAAAGCCTCAGTGAGAGATGTGAGCGGGGCCGCTTAAAGGAACTGCTAGTACCAGCCATGGGAGTGTTCCAGGCAAGAGACATGGCTCCAGGGTAGAAAGCTGGAAGCCTTGCTCTCTGCATAGTCTGTTTTTGTTGTTGGTATTGGGGTTTGTTTGTTTGTTTGTTTTTGGGTTTTGTTTTTTTGAGACAGGGTATGTAGCCCTGGCTATCCTGGAGCTCCCTGTGTAAATCAGGTTGGCCTCAAACTCAATGAGCTCCTCCAGCCTCCCCTGTGCTAGGATTAACATTGTGTGCCCCTCTGGCATTCTTACTGTCTGCAGGACCACCAGGTTTATTCTATCTTTGATTCTCCCCAGATGTGGAGTCTTACCGCACAAGTTAAGATCATCAGAGACCCACGTTTTTCTTTGCCTGATGTTGCTTTACATTTATTTATATGTGTGTATAGATGCACATGTGGAGGTCAGAACACATTGAGAACGTCAATCATGAGAGTTGGCATCAAGCACCTTTACTTGCTGAGTTGTCTTGCTGGCCCTGTTGTTCTGTGGCAGGATCTCCTCTGCCTCAGCTGCCTAAAGTACAAGCATATGCAACTATGCCCTTTCATACTTAAAATTTTTACAAGATGTTTTCAGTCAGACCTTTGTGCTTTTCAGAAGAATTCATTGTAGCTCTTGTTTTACTAATCTTTGTTGTTGTTTTTGTTTTTCCTCTCTGTACATGTCACTTACCCTCTAAGGATGGACACAAGGATTGGATCTTTTCTATTGCATGGATCAGCGATACTATGGCAGTGTCTGGTAAAGTTGCCCTCCTTTAGGAAGTTTTGGTGTGGCAAAGGCAGTGTTAAGAGGGATAGTGTGATAGAAAGTAACCACTAAAGCAGAGTGCCTGGTTTGGTTACTTTTATTTACTCATTAGTTAGGTGGTACTAGGTTGAAATCAGGGCATGCATATGCTGACGGGGAACCCTTACCACCCAGTTTCATTTCCCAGACTCCACTACCTCATGCGCCTCACCACTACTGTTTTTTGGAAACGGGACAGGGTATCACATTGTAGCCATAGCTGGTCTAGAACTCATGTGGTCTGTACTGGTCTTGAACTTGCAGCAGTCCTTCTGCCTAAGCTGTTTTCTTTGTTTTTTGTTTTTTGAGACAGAGTTTCTCTGTGTAGCTCTGGCTGTCCTGGAACTCACTCTGTAGACCAGGCTGCCCTCGAACTCAGAAATCTGCCTGCCTCTGCCTCCTGAGTACTGGAATCAAAGGTTTGAGGGACCACTGCCCAACTCTGCCTAAGAATTTTAAGTGCTTACTATAAGTGTACCCACTCCACCCAGCTTAGGAGATTTTGTGTGTCATTCTACCTTATATTTCTAATGATTGATTGATTATTTTGTGTGTGATATTCTCATCCCATATACGGAGATCAGAGGACTACTCTTAGTATCTGTTCTGTCTTTCTTTCCAACCCTTGGGAGGCAAAGGGAGGAAGATTAGGAGTTCATGGGCCAGCTTGGTCTCAAAAACTGAAATAGGAAGAGTGGAAGAGAAGAGCGGCAGTGTGTGCTTTTGTGTGAGCCTTCTGTTGTGAGTTGTCTCTGACCGGAGCCTGTGCTCAGTGCTGCTGCAGAGGGACAGCACTTGGTCTTGTAGTACATTCAGAGAAAAGTTCAAGGGGAAGCTTACTTTGAATGTGTGAGGCCCTGGGAATGGACTCAGCGCTGAGCAGAGGCTCTAAAAAAGAAAACTTGTTGTTCCCTGTTGCTTATTTACTAAGGAAAATAATTGATGAGTTTTGTTGTTATTTAAATTTGAACTCAGGAGCCAAAGATGGTGGGGCACACCTTCAATCCAGCACTCCTGGGGCAGAGACAGGCAGGTCTCTGTGTTTGAAGCTACCCTGTTCTACACAGAGAGGTCCAGGATAGCTAGGGGATCATAGTGAGGTCATAAACAAACAGCTCAAGTCCTTGTGCTCAGATAACTAATCTACTTCTGAATTATAGTCCCAGCACAAAAACCGGACACTTTTTATATGAGATCTTCTCATATAGCCCATGCTTACCTCAAGTTGACTCTGTAACTAAGGATTGATATTGGACACCTCCCAAGGGCTTGGATCACAATTATTATACCATCATGCCAGGTTTTACATGATGCTGGCGATTACACCCAGGACTTCCATGCGTGCTAGACAAGTGCTCTATCGAGTTTATAGCCCCAACACTAATGATTTATTCTTGGCCAGATATGGTGGTGCATGCTTTTAATCCCACACTCAGAAGGCAGAGCTAGGCACATCTCTTTAAATTAGCGCATGGACCTCCCTAGAATTGAATATAAACAGATGTTTCTGGAGGGAAAAGTCTAGAGGAAGAAATCTGAACTAAGTATGATGGCTTATGCTTGTAATCCCAGCACTCAGGAAGCTAGGCAGGCATACTGCTGCAGGTTTGAGGCCAGCCTAAGTTACAGAGGGAAATATGTCTTAAAGAATACTGCTGTGTTGGAGGTGGGCTGTGTAGCCAAGCTTCAGTGCCAGGCTGGTTGTTGAAATGAAAGGCCCATGTGGTTTTCTGTATAGTTTACTGTGGAGGGTCACTTATATCTGACATCTGTGAATGTCCTATTCTGCAGGCTCACGGGATGGGTCTATGGGACTCTGGGAGGTGACAGATGATGTGTTGACCAAAAGTGATGCAAGACATAACGTGTCACCCGTCCCTGTGTATGCTCACATCACTCACAAGGCCTTAAAGGATATCCCCAAGGAGGATACAAACCCGGACAACTGCAAGGTGCGGGCTTTAGCCTTCAACAACAAGAACAAGGTATGAACTCACCAAGGGAGTTTCAGAAGTCTGTCCCTTCTGACTTTATCCTTTCCCCTCCAAGGCAGTGGCTTGCTGTGTAACTTGGCATGTAACACAGCATGTCTTTAGAGGCTGAGGGATGCTGGTGAGTGCTTGCAGCTGAGGCTGTGAAGCCCAGCCTGTGTCTGTGCTTTATTTGTCTGGGTAGAACATGGTGGTCATAGTTTCCTGGGGACCACTCTAAGCTGACCCTGCCTCATTTGCAAGTGCCTTTTTGGGTGTTCTATTTTGGGTTTGATTTGCATACTGACCTTGTTTTTAGGTTCCAATTTTGACTGCCTTCTTTATCTCACACTTCCCACTGGTCACTGAGTCAGACCACCTGACAGTGAGGGTGTAGGGAGAATCCAAGACCGAACTCAGCCCAGAGAGCAGACAGGCTTCTTCGAAATTTAAAAAAAGGACACAATTTGATTCATTTAAAAAATACATATATGTGTATGAGTGTCTTGTGTGCATATGTGCATGGGTGTATGTTCACCACATGAACGAGGGCCCAGCTTGACAGGTGAGTCACTAGAAGTAGGTTTCTCTCTGCACCTACTGCACCTGAGCTGTGATCTAACTGTCTTAAAGATGTCAGGGAAATGAGTAGCACGGGAAGGACATTGCCACACACAGATGTATGTTCGTGTGCTTGTGGAATTGAATATACTATGTGGCTGCAGCCCATGATGGTGTGAGCTTATCATTACTGGCATCCTTGATACAGGAGAAGCCCCAGCTCTCGGCTTCTTCCCCTGCGTATTGTGGGGCTTGGGTTTGCTGCAGGTCATGTAGTAACTTCTTTTTCATTGCTCTTGTAGGAGTTGGGAGCAGTATCACTAGATGGCTACTTTCATCTCTGGAAGGCTGAAAATACATTGTCTAAGGTGAGAACATGGGTTGGTAGTTTTATATAATTTACCATAGGGTTCGAATACTGTCCTTCTCCCAGAGTCAGAGTAGACTTGCCCAAAATACCTTTCTCCCAAGGTCTGGGAGTAGAGTTACGAAGAAGTTATGAGTCAGGTATTGCCTCTCTTGAGGCAAAGTGAGTTTGGGGTGCTTTCCTTTTAATTTATTCCAGTCTGGCCTTAAACTTGTTATCTTCCTTCCTGCCTCTAAAGAACCTCTCAAAGACTGGAAAATACCAACAGCCACCGCCATGCCTAAGCAAGCAAAGACTTTCCTTCTTTCCTTCCTTCCTTCTTCCCTCCCTCCCTCCCTCCCTCCCTCCCCCCCCCCCTCCCTCCCCTCCTCCCTTCCTTCCTTCCTTCCTTCCTTCCTCTCAGTACAGACTGGCTCTGAATGTACTAACCTAGAACCCCTGGTCCTCCCCGACTTCACCTCCCCACTGTAGCACCAGTCTGTCTTCAGAGAGGACTCAGATTGCAGGGCACTCAGGAAAGTCCCCCTTTTTATTAGTGCCTTGTTCACAGTATATTTAAGTACTGGTTTATAGAGTGACTATCTGGTAAGGTTGCCAAGGTGGAAAAACCTGAATGTTAGGAGCTCCTGGCAACTGAAAATTAATCAAACTAAAATAGTCTCTTAATCTTGTTAGATGGTGAGAAAATGGAGTGGATTTTTGGTTTGTTTCATTTTTGGGGACAGACTTTCTCCGTATAGCTCAGAAACTGGTTCTGTAGATCAGGCTAGTCTGGAATTTGGAGATCCATCTGTCTCTGCCCTCTAAATGCTGGGATCAAAGGCATGCACTACTATACCCAGTTTGGGATTTTATATTGATTGACGAGGTCTTACTATGTTATCAAAGCTAGACTGGAACTCTGTAATTCAGGTTGGCCTGAAACCAGTAATCTTTGTGCCTCAGCCTCTCAAATGCTGGGATTACAAATGTGAAGTGCCATCCCAATGGTTTTTGTTGTTGTTGTTGGGTTTTTTGTTTTGTTTTGTTTTGTTTTGTTTTGTTTTGTTTTGTTTTTCAAGATCTGTTTATTTTACATATGTTGAGTACACTGTAGCCATCTTAAGACACACCAGAAGAAGGCATCAGATCCCATTACAGATGTTGTGAGCCACCATATGGTTGCTGGGAATTAGGACCTCTGGAAGAGTAATCAGTGCTCTTAACTACTAAGCCATCTCTTCAGTCCCCCATCCCAATGTTTTTTATTTAGTTATATTTCTTAAAAAGATTGGCTCGCCGGACAGTGGTGGCGCATGCCTTTAATCCCAGCACTTGGGAGGCAGAGACAGGCAGATTTCTGAGTTCGAGGCCAGCCTGGTCTACAGAATGAGTTCCAGGACAGCCAGGGCTACACTGAGAAACCCTGTCTCGAAAAAAAAACGAACAAACAAAAGAAAGATTGGCTCACTGGGTAGCCCTGGCTTCTCTCAAGCTTGGGATCTTCCCTTGGCCTCACAGTGCCAGGGTTCCAGGAAAGTCTTTTAATGAGACTCAAGATTGCAACAGCACAATTAAGAAAACAGATTTATTTATAATACTTGTTAGCAACTTTTTTGTACAGTAAAGTATATATGTAGGTCATTTCTTCCTGTCTTGCCTGTGCTGCTTATAATAGCTGCTTATAATATCTGTAATAAGCTTTTTTTTTTTTTTTTTTTTTTTTTTTGGTTTTTCGAGACAGGGTTTCTCTGTATAGCCCTGGCTGTCCTGGAACTCACTCTGTAGACCAGGCTGGCCTCGAACTCAGAAATCCGCCTGCCTCTGCCTCCCAAGTGCTGGGATTAAAGGCGTGCGCCACCAACGCCCGGCTATGTAATAAGCTTTTTATAAAGAGGAAATGGCTCAGGGAATTGACAGTTCCCTTGTGCCATGGCAGCTTTGTGTTCCAATAGCCTTGCATGGTTACGTACAGCAGGTAGAGACTAGATTTTCTAGTCCTCGAGGGTCAAAGGTGACTCAGGTTACCTGGGATGGAGTCTATCCTGTGGGGATTCTCTCTCTGGCATACAGTTCTTATTCCTTTGGGAAACTGGCTGAGGATATCTAGGAACGAGCCCCTTTATCTGAAGAGCAACAAGGAGAATGGCAACTCAACTAATCTTGCAGAAAGAAGAGGGTGAAACTAGGCCTTCGTGTCCTGGGCTCATTCTTAGAAATAAGCTATAGTTCTTGGCTTTTCCTGACATTCTGATTATTTAATTCCAGTTTTCCCTTTTCCCTAACCTAGAAGGCTTTGTCTTGTTCCTGACTTAGGTAGTTTGTGTGTAAAGGAAGCTCACAGATGAAGTAACACAAGAATAATGCCTATTTTATGCTGTTATGAATGTGTGTATCTTCTCTATTCAGCTCCTTTCCACCAAATTGCCATATTGTAGAGAAAACGTGTGTCTGGCCTATGGTAGTGAATGGTCAGTGTATGCGGTGGGCTCTCAAGCGCATGTCTCCTTCTTGGATCCACGGCAGCCATCGTACAACGTCAAGTCTGTCTGCTCCAGGGAGCGAGGCAGTGGTAAGTCCCTGTGTGTCCCTTCAGGCTTATAGCTAGCTAGATTGAAATGGTTTTCACCTTTTGTTTCTTCTTTGACTTCCAAACAAGAACAGTGATCCATGTGTCGCATTCGTAAGTATTTGGTAACAACTCTAGGAACTTAATTACCTGCGTGTGGCAACAGAGTGTTCAGGCTATAGAACCCTTTGGTACTAAATGACGTTGGATTGGTGTGGAAGGAGAGTCAGAAGAGCATGATGCCACTTTTGGATATGATGATAAATATGTACATATGTGAAAATATGTGTACGGTATGACACTTAACAATTATAAGAACTTAATTACCGTAATTACCTGAGCTAAAACAAGAAAATATTTGTTTTTGTTCTGATGAGTGAGTGGGGATCTGTGCTTGCTCGAAAATGCTGTACTGCTGAGCTGCACCCATACCCCCAGCCTCTGCCCAGACTGCATATTCTAAGAGCCATTATTCACTCTCCTCAGTGGAAGAGACTTGTGCTGGTGTTGTCTTTAAGGGTTCAGAATACTTTTTTTTCTGATGACTCATTTCCCCCACCAAGAATCCTGTGGAAAGCAGATCAGAAAAGTGAATGGTTAAGACTACTTACTCCAGCCGGGCAATGGTGGTGTACACCTTTAATCCCAGCACTTGGGAGGCAGAGGCAGGCGGATTTCTGAGTTCGAGGCCAGCCAGGGCTATACAGAGAAACCCTGTCTTGAAAAAACAAAGACTATTTACTCCAGAGGACCTGAGTTCAGGCTCTAGCATTCATATTAAACAGCTCACAACTTCCTGTAACTCCAGCTCCAAGGGATCTGTCACTCTGTTGGCATCCGTGACCTGCTGCACACCTGCACACAGACAGACACAGTACACGCATGATTTTAAAAACTTAGAAGTAGTAGGCTTAAAGATGCATGCCTCAGTATGTAGAAAGCAGAAGCTAGCAGAACTTAAGCTTCAGCCCAGCCTGATCTAAAGAATGAGTTCCAGGACAGCCAGAGCTACATAGAGATGTCCTGTCTCAAAAACAGTAAAAAACCCTACCACCACCAACAGAAACAAACAAAACAACCTATAGACCCAGCATAGTGGCACATGCCTTTAATCCCAGCATTAGGAGGCAGATAGGAAGAGGCTAGCCTAGTCTATATAGTAAGTTCCAGGCTAGACAGGGATGTACGGTGAGACTGAGCCCACAGTGGTTAAGTAAGTTACAGATGGGGAGAAGTGAAGTCTTCAGACCGTCCAAGTTAAAGGTTGTTTCTTTCTGTCACTCTGTCCCCTTTCTCATATAAAGATGCAGCTATCCTGAGAATCTTAAGAGGAGTAGTAGGGGGTACAGTTTAACCTCTTTTCCAAAAAGTGTTATTTCTGTGTAGATAACACAAAAGCAGGTGGTGGTGGTGGTGGTGGTGGTGGTGGTGGTGGTGGTGGTGGTGGGCTTGTCTGGTTTGGTTCTCTCCCCATTTATTGCTAGGGAAGGTGGACACTGTGCTGCTGATTGGAAGTCAAGGAACAGTTTGAGAAGTTGGCTCTCTCCTTCCATGGGAGTCACAGAAATTAAACTCGGGTGCTTAGGCCTGGTAGCAAGAGTCCTTACTGGAGCCGTCTCATCTGCTGTAGGATTTATTTTAAGTGGTTAATAGCAGATATATTGAAAGCTGGGGAATAAACAAGGATTAGCTGCAATGGTGTACAATGAAAAGTTTTATTATCATCACTGTCATAATTGTTTTGTTTTTTGAGACAAAGTCTCACTAGGCATCCTTGGCTAGCCTGGAGTTTGGTATGTGGACCAGGCTGGTCTTGAATTCACAGAGATCTGCTTCCCCAGTACTGGGATTAAAGACATACACCATCATACCTGGTTTTTAAAAGGTTTTGGTTACTGTTAATGGAGATAGCTTGTGTAAAGAAATACTAGTTCACAAAGGTCCCTAGCTCCACACACACGCGTCAGGAGACACCTATATCCATTGGACTTAATCCACAGATACAGCAGATGTATTTTCCTTTTCATCCAAAGAAGTTAACTTTCTCTTACTAACACCAGTACTTCCTGTGGTTCTGGTAATATGAAGAGAAGAATAGTGAGCTACAGTGTATACAGTGTGATGGAGAAGAGCTAATCGTTATGATGAAAGGTGACGCCAGTGCTGTTCAGGGGTGTGGAACCCAAGGAACCCAGACACACTTACATTCTTTGGCCAAAAAAAAAAAAAAAAAAAAAAAAACAATGTGGATTTTCCCAGTTATCTGACTTATTAGCAGAGAGTTCTGTTTAACCATTAGCATAGTACCATCTGATATTTGGGGTGTATACCCTCTGATTGCTCTGCATTTTTCTCTCTCAGGAATTCGATCAGTGAGCTTCTATGAACACATTATCACTGTGGGCACAGGGCAGGGCTCCCTGCTGTTCTATGACATCCGAGCTCAGAGATTTTTGGAAGAGAGGCTCTCAGCTTGTTATGGGTCCAAGCCCAGACTCGCAGGGGAGAATCTGAAACTAACTACTGGCAAGGGCTGGCTGGTGAGTAAGCCCAGGCCTGAGAGGATGGCTGCGTTTCAGTGAGGGGTTGTCTGCCTTCCAGTCACCCTCTTCACTGGTATTGATGCTTTCTCTCCTTGCTTTTTTGCTATTTGCGTTCCATAGAGCAGAAAAAGGCTCCTTCCCTGACTTTGCCTTTGTGTCTGCACACTGGCTCTGGGTGAAAGAGGCCTTGTAAGGTGGTGGTGCAAATGGATGCTTGTAATCCCAGCTCTCTGTAAACTGGAGGAGGAGGGTTGCAAAAAAGTGAAAGGCCCAATATGCTGGTGCCTCAGATTTTCTCCAGGTGACCACAGAGTAGGAAGGCTAAGGAACCTTCGGCCATTGCTGCCAGAGTTACCATTAACAAGGCTGATTCTGAAAAGCTATCTGTGAAGACTTGCTTTCCCATAACAGTTCTTTACCTGGTAAAATCGAGGCCAGTTTCCTTGAGAACCAAGTGTGTGATGGCCGCTGATAGAACTCATGCCTAGGCAGAGACCAGAGACCTTCTTGTCCCTTCTCGCTCCTTCCTAGAGATGCTAACAGTCTCCTCCTCTTCCCACAGAATCATGATGAAACCTGGAGGAATTACTTTTCGGACATTGATTTCTTCCCCAATGCTGTTTACACCCACTGCTACGACTCGTCCGGAACGAAACTCTTTGTGGCAGGGGGCCCCCTCCCTTCTGGGCTCCATGGAAACTATGCTGGACTGTGGAGTTAATGACAACTAACTTTCTCCCAAAATGCAGATTTACACTAACTTCCACCCTCAGTTTCCTTGTTTGGTCTTTTGATTTCCCCAGCTGTGGAAGGCTCTCCTATTTACGCAAACACAGTGTGCCCATGGTTCAGGCAGTTACTAGGAAGAGACTCTATGCAGAAATCCAAAAGCTGGGACGGTCTTAGTTGGTTGGTGGCTTGTTGTTCTGGGTTTTTTGTTTGTTTTCAGTTTTCAGTAATTAGAATTTTACTTTCCCCCTTTTTTGCTTTCTCAAGCAAACACTGTTACAAATCCCTCTTTTTATTTTCCTCAAGTGACAACACTCTCCTTCCTCTGGCTTCTTTACACTGAAATGACAAAGTCATTCTCACCCTTACTTCACTGAGGTAGGGCCCCTTTATAATTGTGTGGTGGCTGTCCAACTTTCTGTGAAAGTGTGGGAGCCTTGTGTGTGTGTGCATGTGTGTCTGTGTGTGTGTGTCTGCACGCACATGAGTGTGCGTAAACTTGTGTGCCTGGTAGTGCTGCATCACTGATACTACTTGGAGTGAGGATGATCTGTAATTAAAGTATTTATAAAAGAAACAACCTTACTCAGAGTCCAGCTTTGGGACTAGCCTGTATCCTTCTTAAGGTCTGACATTGTAGGAAGAGAAACAAACACACCAGAAAAACCCTTGAGTTAGAGTATCAGGGTGGGAGAGGAGGCTGTATCCCAGGACTCGAAACTGATCCAGGCCTACTGTGCTTCCCACCTGTGTATACCCAAGCAAGAATGCCCACGTATACGTTACTTCCACTTCCTAACCTTCTGTCTGCTCAGCCCAGACTGCTTTGCTAACGTGTGCATCTGGGGACTGCAGGCAACTTCACAGTCCAGGTAAAGACAATCCTCTCCACGGTCTCCTGCCTCTGACAGGGTCTAATCTGGCCAAGAGCAGGCAGTCTCAAGCCCGACATGGTGGCCATTCATGACTTCCAGGAGAAACGTTTCCATTCTTGGGGTTTTGCTGGTATTTTCTAATTTGTTCTGTCCAGGAAGGCGTGGTTTGTAGTGAGTGCTTTGTGTGTGAGACCTGTTCTCTCAGTGCAGCAGGGCTTAGTGTTGGAAGTCACCCTCCTGCTCTGTTGGCTCATTCCTAGGGTAGTGACAGGTGGCTGTGCCAGCATCACTGCATGTGACAGCGTAGATAGGATTGGTAATTTGCTTGTTCCTCTCAAACTATTTAGTGTGAGGTTTTGTTTTTTAACTTGAAGGCAACTGACTGTCAAGGCAGTTGTTGTCTTTCACACATCATGTGGAAAGGAAGCTCTCTCTCCCCACCCTGGTACTCGGAGACCTGCAGTGCTGCCCCGCAGCACCTGTCCTGAGAAGTGCAGTCACGGGCCTGCACCCAGTTTCTTGGTTGCTCCCCAGTTCTTCCATTTTCTCTTTGTGTCAAAAGAGTATTCTTGTAATGGCAGGGACTGCTGGGGAGGGAAGCGGCAGGCCCACCATAGGACACAGCATATGCCACAGGTTTTAGAATAATCATCCTATAATCTAGAGAAATAGGTGCTATGAACAGGAAATTAAGCAAAATGCTGGATGCTGTGAATCTTTTGTCTTAATTTTTTTTCTATTCTTAAACTACAGGCTGTAGATGTCTTAGTTCTCACAGAACTTCTGTCTTTTTAAACTGACTTGTGTGTTTTAAAAAAACAAAACTCTTGTAGGATGTTTTGTGCCATTGCCAGACCGTCTCCTGTGATGCTTTTGATTGTCTTGAGATTTTCTGTTTTTTAAAATGTAGCATTTGACTTTTTTGCCAAGGAAAAATAAATACTATCCTAGAGCAGAGCTGTTTTGAGTGACTATATATGGCAAAGAAGCTGCAGAGAACAGACCCCAAAGGATTCAGGAGAGCATGCTAAGATTTGCCAAGGTTCAGTACTTAGACCAGCTTGCTCCTACTTCCTGGCTCTAGGCTCCGGGGTGCAACTGAGGGCCCCTGTGCCCAGGGGAAGTAGTGTAGTGCCTGAAAGGAACAAGAGTGGCTTAGGGTTACAGCGGTAACTTCTTCACCATAAGTCAGAGTCAGTGATGGGCCCTGTCTGCGTCACTGTGGGTGTCTGAGAATGACCAGGAGTGGCTGCACAGTGACGGCCTGTTTGCAATTAGAACCATAGATCATCACTGTTGTTCATGAGGTAAGGCACAGGGGCCACCCTGAAGCATGGTCTTCCCAAAGCTGGGGGAAAGACTGCTAAGTCTTGGGATCTTCATACAGCTAACTCTGGAAGACCCAGCCATGCTAAGCTCTGGGCCACAGCTGCTCACCGGCTTTCCAGGGCACACCAGCTGTAGCTGACTTTCGAGTTTGCATTATAGACTGATTCAGACCAAACTTGCATTGGGACCTTGATGATCAAAGATTGCAAGACAGAAGAGGGTGGGTAAATTAGTTGAAGCAATTTGAGAATATGTCCTACAAAGAGTGACATTTGGACAGGGCCTGGAACTACCCTTTCCTTAAAACAAATCGGAGTCCAAGATCTGGGCGAAATATTCCATTGTGTGGAGGAAGTAAACATCAGGAGCTGGAGAGACTGCAGTTAAGAGCATTTGTTGTTCTTTCAGCGGACCTGAATTTGGCTCCCAGCCCCCTTTTTGGGGGGGGGGGGGTGTTTTTTGTTTTTTGTTTTGTTTTTTTGAGACGGGGTTTCTCTGTGTAGCTCTGGCTGTCCTGGAACTCACTCTGTAGACCAGGCTGGCCTCAAACTCAGAAATCCGCCTGCCTCTGCCTCCCAAGTGCTGGGATTAAAGGCATGCATCACCACCGCCCAGTGGTTTCCAGCACTTAGATGGTGGTTCACAACCATCTGTAACTCCAGGGGATCCAACACCCTCTTCAGAACTCCCAAGGGCAGCAGGCATTCATATGTTATATACACACATATGCAGGTAAACACTCATTAAAATCAGCTTTTTAAATATGACCAGTGCTGGGCTGGAGAGATGGCGTCAGCAGTTAAGAGCACCTAGTTCCAAAGAACTAGGGTTTAAGTCCAAGAGCCCACACGGCACAACTGTGTCTCCAGTCCCAGGGAAATCTGATGGCCTCTTCTGGACTTTGCTGCATGTTGCATACATGTGATGTAGAAACATATGTGCAGACAAAACACCCATATGCGTAAGAATGATTAAATGCTAAAAACATTTTTAAAAATGACTGTGTTGTGAGATAAACTTGGCATTGAGCTCACTGTATAGCCAAGGATGACTTTGAAGTCCTGAATTTCCTGCCGTGGCCTCCTCTAAGTGCTGGGATTACCAGCAAACACTGCAAAACCTGGCTGTCACCTCTTCCTCCTGAGATTTTCCTGTGTCACACTGTAGGACTCTATGGAACATGTTCAGAAGGGTGCCTAGGCAGATGTGCTGTGGACTTGCCATGGACCTCTGACCTCCATGGAATCTTGGCCCTATTCCCCATTTCTAGTCAGACTTTGCAGCAAACTCCATACCACAGAGGGACTTTGTGGGTTTTATGGCGCCCTCTTCCTGCGAGCAGCCCCTGCTGCCAGGCCATGAAAGAATCTCCTTGTTCATTTCCAAGCCACGTGCTGCCTGCTTCATTCCAAATGAGCGGCTGGCTCCTTCTGTCATCCGTTGGCTCCTTTGCTGAAGAGAATTCCTAGCTCTTCAGTGTTCATTAAATGTTCTTGTTCCCTATGCGGCCCCCCCCGCCCCCCCCCCCCCCCCCCCCCCGGCCCCCAGAGTTAAGCCGTGTCCCACCTGGTAAGAGCACAGGCTGGCGTTGAACTAATCTACCATAGCCCCCTCAGAGCTGGTTTACAGGCATGAACTACCACGTCTGACCAAAGTTAAGGATTTTAGAGGATAATACTCACTGTGCTCAGCATGGGGTTTCTGTGCTGCTTATTAACCGTAGTGAGATCTGTAATTAACGTCCTATGGTGTAGCCAGGAAGAAAACTCAACCACTGCTTTCTGTGACCTCCCTCACAACCCAGTCAGAGGAGTAGAAATAGTCAAAAGTCTTTGTTCTCTTTAGTGCTAAGATTTAGATCCTAAGTTGCCCCAGAGGTTCATTTGGTAAAGGTTTGGTCCCCTGCGCATAGTACCTGGTTGAGTCTTCTAGGAGGTGACAGGAAATGGAGAAAAATTAGAGCACTGGCTCTGTACTTGAAAATAGAGGAACCTCTCCTTTTTCTTGTACTCTCAAATCTATTCTCTCCAGATTTTTTAAAAGTTTATTTTATGTATATGAGTATACTGCCGCCGTCTTCAGACACACCAGAAGAGGGCATCAGATCTCATTACAGTCGGTTGTGCCACCATGTGGTTGCTGGGAATTGAACTCAGGACCTCTGGAAGAGCAGACAGTGCTCTTAACCACTGAGCCATCTCTACAGCCTTCTCCAGCTGTTTTTTCCCCACAGCCCCAGCTATGATGTTGAGCTTTGCCACCTAAAACAATGGAACCAGCTACCTACAGACAAACATCATACACAAAAAAAGGTCTGGAAACCTCAAGGAAAAAAAATAAAATTAAGCCGGGCAGTGGTGGTGCACGCCTTTAATTCCAGCACTTGGGAGGCAGAGGCAGGCGGATTTCTGAGTTCGAGGCCAGCCTGGTCTACCGAGTGAGTTCCAGGGCAACCAGGACTACACAGAGAAACCCTGTCTCAAAAAACCAAATATATATAATATAAATAATAATATAAAATAAAATTAATAGATGAATAAATAAGCCATGGTGTAACCAATAGTGCTTGCTTGAGAGATGGGAACAGAAGGGTCAGGAGTCCAGTGAAAGTCTCAGCTACATAGTTCAAAGCCAGCCTAGCTACACAAGAGCTTGTCTATACCAAGAAGGCTGGACACAAGCGCACACTCCTCCAATCTCAGCATTCAGGAGTCAGAAGTAGATTGAATTGGAGGACAGCCAGGGCTACATATCAAGACCCTAATACAACAAAACAAAAAGTATCACACCTCATGAATGGTTTATCTCTGGTACTTTTGTGGTTTGGGTATTTGCCAATAGCAGAGCTGATTGTCTTGGTGTGAAGTATGGGGCAGGTTTGAGTCCTCAGTGTGTTCTCTAGGTAACATCATAACAGCTTTTCTGTCCCCTAGTCTGCTACACTAAAAGTGATCATATTTAGAGGTCCACCACCAGCTGTTTTTTTGTTTGTTTGGTTTTGTTATTTTTGTTTATTTATTTATTGCTTTTTGAGATAAGGTCTTGTGTAACCAAGGCTAGCCTTAAACTAACTCCCCCTGCCTCCAAAATCCAAGTGCTCTGATTGTGTGTGTGCCTGGGTTGGACCTTTTTCTTTTATGATGTAGAGTGTAGTTTTGTTTTTGTGTTTTTCCCAAGACAGGGTTTCTCTATGTAGCTCTGGCTGTCCTGGAACTTGCTCTGTAGACCAAGCTGGCCTCCACCTGCCTCTGCCTCCCAAGTGCTGTGATTAAGGGTGTTGCACCACCACCAGCACCCAGCTAGAGTGTATTTTAAGGTACTAACACAGATCCCTGAGAAGGGATACCTGCCCCTACGTGCCATCTGCCAACACTGAGTATGAATGAGAGAGCAGGGGCTGGTTCTAGCTGTGCAGCTGTTTAGGGCTGTGTACTCAAAATGAGGCCCTACACTGATGGGGTGTTGTGGGGGGGGGTGCTGTAGTGTGAGTGTGTGAGTGGAGTGAGTGTGTATCACTGGGTATGTGAGTTAGTATGTGAGTGTGTGTGTGAGTATATGAGTGTGTGTGTGTATGTGAGTGAGTGGGTGGGTAGAAAAAGCAAAATGTAGAGAATTTTCCTTTGATTTCTGGGAATTATCAGGTACTCTAACAGGCATGCTGGTGCAGATGGCTAGAAGGACAAACAGCACCACTACGCAGATCATGTCTGTAAATAAGGAAATGACCACAGTACTTGTGGGTCAATGTCATCACAAAGAGACCAGGAGCTAGGCATGGTGGTACACACCTGTAATCCCAACACTAGGCAGGAAGAGTATTTACCTATGTGTAGCTACATAGTTCAAGGACAGATTGGGCAACAGGTGATAGCCTCAAAAAACAAAGTAGCTATGTATGGTAGCATACCTGTAATCTCAGCACTGAGGAAACAGTCAAGAGGATCACCAAAGTTTGAGACTAGTTTGATCTACATGGTGAGTGCTAAGCCATAGAGCAATACCGTGTTTCAGAATCATACAAGCAAAAAAATTAGGGCTAGCAATATAGCCCAAATGTAAAACACTTTGTCTAGCATGCACAAGGTCCTAGATTTAATCCCCAGCACAAACAAAACAACAGAAAACAACACTTCCCCCAAATAAGCCAGGACTATGGCACGCTCTTGTAATTCTAGCACTAGGGAGACTGAGGCAGGAAGGTTTCCAGTTGAGTTTAATTCTCATACCAGGTGCAGTGGCTGACACCAGCTCATACCCTAGTGCACATAGGCAGGAGGATCAGAGTTCAAGGTCAACTCTGGAGACAGAGGCTGAGGAATCTTTTAAGTTTGAGGCCAGCCTGGTCTACAGAGTGAGTTCTAGAACAGCCAGGGCTACACAGAGATACCCTGTCTGGGGAGAAAAAAAGTTGCAGGTCATCCTTGGCTTCATATCTCTCTCTCCTTCCCTCTTATCTCTCTCTGAACTCTATAGAATCATACATATCAGCCAGGCATGATCACCTATGTCATTAGTCATCAGAACTTGGGAGGCAGGGGCTGGAGAGATGGCTCAGCAGTTAAGAGCACTGACTGTTCTTCCTAGAGGTCCTGAGTTCAATTCCCAGCAACCACATGGTGGCTCACAAC